AGGATCTCCACCGACGGCGCCAATGGCTGCGTTCGCACGCGCCCACCGCACCTATTTCGGCACACCTCTCACGCGCGTCGTGGCCTCTGGTCCCAGTGGCTGCTTTCGCATGCGCCCACCGGACAAAGTTCGGCACACCCCTCACACGTTTCGTGGCCCTGTAGGGAACTCCTCCGGATGCGGTGAATACAACGACGGTGCTCACAACTGCACATGGTTGGGTCCTTCGCCGAGCTATATAATCCCACAAGCCCTTTGGGCGACAGGTGCTCTAACGAGATTCCTCTTCCCTCTTCAAAAAAACACTCTTCCCCTACGGGGAGGGGTTTACCTTTCCCTCTGCCCTTCCCCTGGACTTGTTTGGGGGGTCCGCGATGTGCCAGGGCGTCCAAAACGGCCTCGGCGAGGGAACCGAAAGCATAGGTGATACGCAAGTTGTGGCCCCATGTTGGCCTCTTTGGGGGGGGAACCGAACGTTACCCCACCGGCCCTCTGGGCGCGAATAGCACTGGTTGTACTAAGGATTTGGCCCCGTTGGCCTCTTAGGGGAGGGCTGAAAGTTTTCCCACCAGCTCTCTGGACGCTAGAATCACTGGGGTTGCTAAGGTGTTGGCCCCATGTTGGCCTCTTCGGAAGACGCCCAAAATGGCCTTCAAGACGGTTGAAATGGCCCCAAGTTCCCCAAAACTGTTCAATATGCACGCAAGACGGCATGATATGGCCTCCCGATGGCGTAAGACGGCACAAAAAGCCCCCAATAGGCATCCAAGACGGCCCAAGAGGCCTCCAAGAGGTCTTCCAGGAGGGCCCGAAGAGGCCAATATCATGGATGTCCTCTGGGTTGTCGACCGATTTGGGCATGCCCTTCCTTTCGGTGTTCCGACTGTTCAAGACGGCCCAGGAGGCCCCCAAGATCGCCCACGAGGCCTCCAAGATGGCCCCATGACGGCCCAAGAGGCCCCCCAAGACGGCCCCAAGAGGGCCCAAAAGGCATCCAAGACTGCCAAAATCGCTTCCAAGACGGCTAAAATGGCCCCAAGATGCCTCCACGACGGCTCAAGATGCACCCAAGACGGCCCAATATGGCCCCGAGATGGCGCAGGACGGCCCAAGGGGCCCTCAAGATCGCACAAAAGGCCTCCAAATAGCCCCATGACGGCCCAAAGGGCTCCCAAGACGGCCCCAACAGGGCCCCACAACTGCCCAAGAGGCCTCCGAGACACTCATGATGGCCTTTAAGAACCCCTGATCTGCCCCAAGGAAGCCCAAAACGACCCAGACAGGCCCCCAAACCGGTTTCCGACGGCGCCAGGCACACCTCCAGACGGCCACAGAGGCCCCCAATAAGCCCCCCACGGGCTCCCAAAAACCCTCCTATATGCCCCCTCGGGAGCTCCCAGGAGGCCCCCAGAGTGCCCCAAGAGGCGCCCAAGTGGCCTCCTCCTCCTCCTCCTCCTCCTCCTCCTCCTCCTCCTCCTCCTCCTCCTCCTCCTCCTCCTTCTCATCCTCTTCCTCCTCTTCCCCCTCGTCATCGTCTTCCTCCTCCTCATCCCCGCGCCCCCACGCGGCCCCCAGGGATGGCCCGAAGAGGTTTTCCAAGGTTACCCCTTTGTTCCCTGAAATATATCGGTTTATCCTGGTTGCTCGCTTTGTTTGCCTAGACGCGTCCCCTCGTGTTTTTGCTCGTCAGCTCCCGTGGGCACGGTGGGGGTGCTGGCGGGGGTGCTGGTGGGGGTGCCTTTTTTGCTCGCGAGCGCAAGCGGAGGAGCCGCGCGCCGTCATAAGATACAGCGAAGACCTAAAAAGCAGCGGCCGGGAACGAAGCAAGGCGCGCGCGGCGAGCGAGAAGTCGAAAGAGGAAGGGGCCTACAGAAGCCGAGGATGGAGAGGGATACTTGCCGAGCCCGCAAGCGGAGTGGCCCCAGAAACTAGCCCTCGGGGAACTTGAACCGACAACCTTCGCCCAAGCGACAGTGTCCTCGCCCAACAGGTCAACGGTCAAGGCCGACCGTGACACACCGATGCCGTCGTCAGCACGGATCTTATACATCTACAACGTAGCCTGCAACGCGAAAGTAACACTGACACCCAGCAAACAGCTGTCCATTCAGTCAACGTGCCTCGGAGCAACCGACGCGCGGGGCGGCCTGGCGGGGATACTTTTTTGATCGCGACCGCGAGCGGGCACCCGCGCGGCGTCGAAGCCGTGCAAATGCAAGGCACGGGGAAAAGTGCAGGGCCACTACGCAAAAGGCAGCGCAAGAGCGGCGAAAATGAAGTAAATCAGGAGAAGCGGCACGAGCGAAGAGGACAAACGAAAAGAAGAAAACGAAGAAGGCGGAAGAACGACGAGAGGAGCGAGAAAGAGAAACACACGCGGTGCAGCTCAGAGGCGACGGGCTGGGTAGGTGACCACCAGGGCCTCGTGGTACATCGAATGCTTGCCGCAAGTGGGCGAACGGGCACCCAAGAACAACGCCAGCCGTCAGACGTCGGTGGCCTCGAGCTTGTCCGAACCAAGTGCCGAGCCGCGATCGCAAACCTCCCTGGTGGGGATACTTTTTAGTCAGCGGCCGTAGGCGAGCGCGCCAGCGGCGAGTCCAGTCAGAGTGGTGATACTTTTTTTGTCGCGGCCACCAGCGAAAGCGCATGAAGAATTGCCCAACCATCGGTGTCGGGTCCTCGCTTTGGAAAGACAACGCCCGGCGTTCCTCCTTCATTCCTCCCGCTGCCCCCTCCCTCCTCCTCTCATCAGCATCGTCATCAGCATCGTCAACGACATCGGCATCGGCATCGTCCTCGTCATCGTCATCATCGTCATCATCGTCATCGTCATCATCGTCATCATCAACATCATCATCATCATCATCATCAGCATCATCATCGTCGTTATCGTCATCCTCGTTATCATCATCATCATGGTCGTCATCATCATCAGCAGCATCATCATCAGCATCATCATCATCAATATCATCATCACCCTCATCCTCATCCTCATCATCACCGTCAGCATCAGCATCATCACAGAACACCCCACACGCTTCGTGGCCCCATAGAGAGCTCCACCGAAGAACCCAGTGGCGCAGTTCGCATGGCGGCGACGCCCCATTTTGGCACACCCCTCACACGCTTCGTGGCCCCATAGGGAACCCCACCGAAGGTCCCCATGGCGCTGTCTGCATGGCGGCGCCGCACTATTGTGGTACACCTCTCACACATTTCGTGGCCCCACAGCGAGCTCCACGTAAGGTCCCAGTGGCGCAGTCCGCATGGCTGCGCCGCTCCGTTTTGGCATGCCCCTCACACGCTTCGTGGCCCCATAGGGAGCTGCACCGAAGTCTATACTAACAACGCGGTATTCACAACTACATATGGTTGGGTCCTTCGCCAGGCCAGGTTTGGTTCGTGGGCGGGGCGGGCGCAAAACATCAGCCTGGCGAAGGACCCAACCATATGCAGTTGTGAGCACCGTCGTTGTATGCACCGCATTCGGCACAGCTCCCTCTATATAAACCAGGCGTGTGAAGGGTGTGCCAAAATTTGGCCGGTGGGCGCATGCCAAAGCAGCCACTGGGACCGTCGGTGGAATTCCCTATGGAGCTACGAAGCGCGTGAGAGGTGTGCCCAAATAGGTGCAAAGGGCGCATGCGACCGCAGCCACTGTCGCCGTCGGTGGAGTTCCCCCTGGGGCCGCGAAACGTGTGATGGGTGTGCCGAAATGCGTGCGGTGGGCGCATGCGAACGCAGCCATTGGCGCCTTGGGTGAAGCTCCTTATGGGGCCACGAAACGTGTGAGGGTGTGCCCAAATGAATGTGAGTGACGCGTGCGGGCGGTGGCACTGGCGCCTCCGGTGGAGCCCCCTATGGGGCCACGAAACGCGTGAGGGGTGTGCCAGAATGGGCGTGGGTGACGCATGCGGGCGGTGGCGACTGGGCCTTCGTTGGAGCTCCCTACGGGGCCACGAAGCAAGTGAGGGGTGTGACGAAATGGACGTGGGTGACGCATGCGGGCGATGGCACTAGGGCCTTCGGTGGAGCTCCCTGTGGGGCCATGAAGCGTGTGACGGGTGTACCGATATTGGTGTGCGTGACGCATGCGGGCGGTGTGCTGAAATGAGTGTGGGTGACGGACGCATGCGGGCGGTGGCACTGGGGCCTTCGGTGGAGCTTCCTATGGGGCCACGAAACGTGTGAGGGGTGTGCCGACATGGGTGTGGGTGACGCATGCGGGCGGTGGCAGTGGGCCATTCGGTGGAGCTCCTTATGCGGGCACGCAGCGTGTGCGGGGAGTGCCGAAATGAGTGTGGGTGACGCATGCGGGCGGTGGCACTGTGGCCTCGGGTGGAGCTCCCGATGGGCCACGGAACGTGTGAGAAGTGTGACGAAATTAGTGGTGACGCATGCGGGCGGTGGTACTGTGGCTTTCGGTGGAGCTCCCTATGAGACCGCGAAACGTGCGAAGGGAATACCGGATTGGGTGTGGGTGACGCATTTTCGGCAGCTCTCGTTGCCCCCCCCCCATGGTATCGCCCCCCCATTACGCGTCCTTCGAAGGGATAACCCCAAGAGAAGTCTGGTGGGCAAGCGCGGGCAAGGGACAACCAGAGGCCGACGGCAGAACAGGCCCAAGGGGGGCACGCGGCGATCAGGATCTCGCGCAGCTTCGCCTCGCCCGCACGTGCGACACGAACCGAAACCACAATCGATCTCCCAGCGGAGGGGGACCCGCCGCTCAAATCCGGTATGATCTCCAACCTCCGGTATCTCTCTCCCTCTCTATGTCGTACAATGCTTGGTGACTGATGGTTACCATCTGCATTGCTTTCTTACTACCTCCCTGCTCCATCCTTCTCGTTCGCAACTCTCTCTCGCTCTCTCTCTCTCTCTCTTTCTACCTTTCTTCCCATCTCTTTTCCTCGCAACCCCATCTCAATGCAATTTCCCACTCCCACTCCCCCCTCTCTCTCTCTGGCAACCCCGCGTGATGCTACGGCAAAGGCCTAGGTCGATCACGATCTGCAAGATCTCGAACATGCGCAGCGAGCCTGGACCCCCTCGCCTGAAGAGGCTTCCGTGCCCCCAGACGAAGGGGGAGGGGGAGGACGGGGAGCGGGTTGGGGGCCGAGGAGAAGAAGGATGGGTGGAGGGTCGAAGATACAGCCTGTTCGTCGCTCGGGGCCCCTTCCGACCCACGAAAGCATCAAAGGCCTCTGGCGACCTGTGAGGACCTCCCTGGGACCTCTTGCACACGGGAAGGGGGAAAATGGAAGGGGGGGAGGGAGAGGGGGACAGGACAAGCTAGATGCGCTCGCACCACACATGACATCTGATCCCTCCCACCGATACCCCCCCATTGCGTTGATGCGTTCTTTATCAGCGGACGCGTGTCATAGCCGACCTGGAATTCCAACAGAAAGGCCTCAGCGTGTCATGAGCAACCGGGAAAAAAAGGGAACTGCGTGCAAAGGGGAGGATGGCGGGGATGATGACCAGGAGAAAAAGAATGTGGAGAGAGAAGGACGAGGAAGAAAATCAGCATCAGGACCTGGAATGGAAAAAAACGGGAGGGGCAGGATGACCAGAGGGAAGGGGAGGAGAGGAAACGAAAGGGGGGCGACAACGATAAAACAAATCTGATCCAGAAAAGTGGCCCACGCTGACGGGGCAGGACCATTGTGAACGACGGGAGCAAATCGCCGATCCGAAAATGAGGCCCAAGCTGCAACGGGACCACCATATTGAAACACCGAATGCAATCGAATTGGAAACAAACCCATCGAATAATAAACAACAATGTTAGCCAATCTGCCCCCAAAAAACCGGTGTGGCTCTAGCAGAGTATGTGGTGTTAGCTCTGCGGGACAACTTTCGTGATACAATGGTGGAGGTGTAATCTAAATGGGGCAACCGGCATACTGCACTTCAGGTGGCGAAACTTGTGGTGCATTCTAAGTGGTGCAATGAATTTCTGTTCGCAGTGAATTGTCCACTCCACTGCTCCCGCAAACATCCCACCCACCCACCCGCAACTTAGTTTGCAAAATCTCTTAAGACCGTGACGGTGGGTACCAAATGGCACTTGGCAACGACAGCGACGCCGACGACGACAGCGACAACGACGACGACGACGACGCCGCCGACAACGACTACGACGACATCGACGACGTCTCCAACGACTTCGACGACGCCGACAACGACGACGACGACGACGACGACGACACCGACGACGACGACGACGACGCCGACGACGACGTCAACGACGATGACAACGACGGCGACGACGCCGACGACGACGACACCGTCGACGACGACGACGACGACGACGTCAACGACGCCGACGACGACGACGACGACGACGACGACACCGGTGACGAAGACGACGACGCCGACGTCGACGACGACGAAGACGACGACGACACCGACGCCGACGACGACGAAGACGACGACGGCGTCGCCAACGAGGACGACAACGAGGGAGGAGGGAGGACGACGACGGCGACAACGACGACAACGACGACAACGACGACAACGACGAGGGAGGAGGAAGGACGGCGACGACGCGAACGACGAAGAAAGAGGAAAGACGGCGACGCCGACGACGACAACGACGAGGGAGGAGGGAAGACGACGAAGACGACAACGACGACGACGACGACGACGACGGCGAGGAAATAGGAGGGACGACGACGAGACGCCTACGACGGACGACGACGACGACGACGACTAGAGGAGGAGGAAGGACGACCACGGCGACAACGACGACGGAAACGACCACGACGCCAAAGAGAACGACGACGACGAACACGAGGAAAGACAGAGGACGACGTAGGCGACGACGACGACGACGCGGGAGGAGGAAGGACGGCGACGACGACGACGCAACAGCGCGCGCGCACGCTTTTGTTTGAAAAACCGTGCTGCGAACTTCGTGTTTTTGTATTTGTTTTTTGGGGCACACGATTTAAAAATCCTTCCGACACCGATGGGTTTTGAAGGATTTCGGCACACGCGCGCGACGACGCGCTCGTCTGCACTTCGTCCCATTTGTTGCAAAGGATTCTCGCGACGGCACACGCGCACGGGCGTTCGACAGATTTCGACATGCGCGCGCGCGAAGCCCATTTGGTAGCATTGTGTGAAAACCTTGAAAAACCAATGGTTTTCTTAAGATGTCGCAATCGTTCGCGCGTAAGTTTTTAGCACACCCGTACTGCGAAACCATGTGTGTTGTATGTTTTTTGGGGAACTCGATTGCGAAATCTTTCCGGCACCGAAGGTTTTTGACAGATTTCGGCATGCGCGCGCGACGACGCGCGCGTGCGCACTTCGTCCCATGTTTTACCAGGGATTCGCGGACAAAAATCTTATGTTAGAGCAACAGATGCCCCCGCGTACTTTTTTACGAGGGAACCTCAGAAAAAGGGGGCCGATACCGCCCCCCTGGGATAGTGTAAATTCATATTTCGGATGGACATGTGGTTAGAATCATATATGATTGACATACCCGAAAAGGGGGGAATAACGCTGGGGGGGTAGAGTGTATTTTTTTCAGAAAGGAGAACCAATCAGTTGCTCAACGTGAAGTTGTCCACCCCACTGTTTGCGCAAACGTCCCACCCACCCACCCGCAACTTGGTTTGCAAACCCCAGGCGGAAGCGATTGCGATGAGTGTTTGGTGTTGGCTGGTGCTTATTTGCTGCCGCGCTAGCCCGCGCATGCTCGCGCGCGCAGCGGCCTGCTAGTTTGGCGCGACCGACGCGAACGCGGTGGCGCTGACCGCTCGGCACATTCGAACGGCCACTTCAGTGCGAGTCGGCGACTGGACGCGGTATCATGGCAACGTCGACAACGGTAGACACGATGATGATAGTAGCGATGGTGGCGGCGATGCGACAGCGACGACGGAGCAGCCAATGACGGCGTCGATGCTGATCACGCCGACGACGATGACGGCGTCTTCGCGTCGGCAATGAAGGTCTAGGAATGATTTCGACATGCACGCGCAGGCGCACGAGAGTGGCCCGCATGATATTATTTGACACGGATCGCGCCACCCCAAACAGCGAGCAAGGGCGTCCGAACGTTTTCGACATGCGCGCGCGAAGCCCGCTTGGTAGCACGTTCGGGAAATGATTGTACCCAAACAAAAAGCAACGGTTTCCTTAAGCATTCGCACGAGCGCGCATTTGTTGTTTTGAATTCGTGCTGCGAAAGCCTGTGTTTTCCCCACCATCCTGTGGTGTTGGGTCCTCCTTTTGAAGAGACAGTCCCCGCGTTCCTCCTCTCCTCCTCCTCCCCCTCCTACCGTCCGCATGCGTCCCCCCCACCCAAGTACAGCGCATCGTGGCCCCATAATGGGACCCCACCGAAGGTCCCAGTGCTACCGTCCGCATGCGCCCCCCCCACGCAGTACAGCGTTTCGTGGCCCCATAGGGAGCCCCACCGAAGGTCCCAGTGCTACCGTCCGCATGCGCCCCCCCCCACCCAGTACAGCGTTTCGTGGCCCCATCGGGAGCCCCACCGAAGGTCCCAATGCTACCGTCCGCATGCGTCCGCCCAACCCAGTACAGCGTTTCGTGGCCCCATAGGGAGCCCCACCGAAGGTCCCAATGCTACCGTCCGCATGCGTCCCCCCTGCCCAGTACAGCGTTTCGTGGCCCCATCGGGAGCCCCACCGAAGGTCCCAGTGCTACCGTCCGCATGCGTCCGCCCAACCCAGTACACGTGGCCCCATCGGGAGCCCCACCGAAGGTCCCAGTGCTACCGTCCGCATGCGTCCGCCCAACCCAGTACAGCGTTTCGTGGCCCCATAGGGAGCCCCACCGAAGGTCCCACCCCCCACCCAGTACAGCGCTTCGTGGCCCCATAAGGAGCCCCACCGAAGGTCCCAGTGCTACCGTCCGCATGCGTCCCCCACGCCCAGTACAGCGTTCCGTGGCCCCGCAAGGAGCCCCACCGAAGGTTCCAGTGCTACCGTCCGCATGCGCCCCCCACACTCAGTACAGCGCTTCGTGGTCCCATAGGGAGCCCCACCGAAGGTCCCAATGCTACCGTCCGCATGCGTGCCCCCCCCCCGTGTACAGCGCTTCGTAGCCCCACAGAGAGCCCCACCGAAGCTCCTGGGACTGTCCGCATGCGTCCCGGAAATCTAATTTGGCATTCTCACCCCACCCAGTACGGCGGTCCGTGGCCCCATAGAGAGCCTAGAGAGCCCCACCGAAGCCCCCAGTGGGACTGTCCGCATGCGTCCCTGAAACACAATTTTGGTATTTTCACACCACCCACCACGGCGTTTCGTGGCCCCATAGGGAGCTCCACTGAAGCCACCACTGGGACCGCCCGCATGCGTCCCACACACCAGGCTTTGCATTTTCTCCCCACCCAGTACGGCGTTTCGTGGCCCCATAGGGAGTTCGCCCGACGGCCCCAGTTCTACCGCCCGCATGCGTTACCCCCCACTCAGTGCAGCGCTTCGTGGCCCCATAGGGAGCTCCACCGAAGAAATTATTCACAATTGCGGTACCCACAACTGAGTTTGAAATCCTTCCGAAACCGTGGGTTTTTGAAAGGTTGCGGCATGCGCGCGCGACGACGCGCGCGTGCGCAGTTCGTCCCATTTGTTGCAAGGGATTATTGAACATTTGCGCTTTTTGATAAGCGAGCGCGCGCGCCTAACTTTTGCAGAGGATGGCGGGGGGGGGCCATACCGGTTTGGCTGGGACCATATGAAATTGCAATTAGGATGGACGATGGGGCAACGTCACGTGTAAATACGGAAAATTAATAGTCAACCCCAGGGGGAGGGTGGTGGAACCCATCTCTTTTGTAGAACGGAGAATTGATTTCAACAAACGAATTGACACATTCCATGCTCTTGCAAAATCCTACCCACCCACCCGCAACTTGGTTTGCAAAACCCATGCGGTGGCGATTGTGATGCATGGTTGGCGTTGGCTGGGGCATCTCTGCGGACGCGCCAACCCAAGCACGCGCGCGCAGCGGCCAGCTAGTTTGGCGCGACCGACGCG